TTTTGAGACAGGGTCTCCCTGTAGCCCCAGCTGTCCTGGATTCACTATGGACAGCAGGCTGGCCTCGAACTCACAGAGATCTGCCTGCCTCTGCCTCCCAAGTGCTGGGATTAATAGAGTGTGTTACCACGCCTGGCTTCTTTTCATTTTTTATTTTATTTTATTTTATTGTCTTTTCAAAACAGGGTTTCCCTGTAGCCACAGCTAAACTGGAGCTCACTATGTAGACCAGGCTGGGCTTGAACTCACGGAGATCCACCAGCCTCTGTTTCCCAAGTGCTGGGATTTAAGGCATGCACCACCATGCCTAGCTCTTTAATTCTCATTTTGTCTGTAAATTTTGCAGAGTGATTTGAATGATGCTCATCTAAAGTGCATAATGGCAGTTTCCACATGGTGGGTTTTGAGGGGCTTTTCCTTGTGCTTTTCTGTTTTATTATATTCAGATTCCTTCTTATGATGCTTATGTATCAAGTCAGAAAACGACTGTAATCATAATACCCGGGAAGCTGAAGCAAGAGGATTACTATGAGTTTGAGACCAGCCTGGGCTACATGGTGAGTTCCAGGCTAGCCTGGGATACAGAGTAAGACTTTGTCTCAAAAATAAAAAAAATTTCAGGTGTGGTGGTGCACTCGGGAGGCAGTGACTGATGGATCACATGAAGGCCAGCCTAGACGGTCTGCATAGTGAGCTCCAGATCAGCTATGACTACATAGTGAGAGCCTGCCTCAAAAAACCAAAAAACAAACAAAAAACAAACAAATAAATAAAATAAATAATTTTTAAAGGGGGTGGGAGCTGGAGAGATAGCACCATAAGTAGAATGTTTCCTGTACAATCATTAGAAAAACAACACATTAGAAAAACAACAACAACAACAACAACAAAACCCAAACTGGGTGTAGTGACACACATCGGGGGAGGTAGAGACAGGAGGGTTTGCCAGCAAGATAACTAGTCTTGCTATATAGGTGAGCTTCAAATTCAGTGAGAGCTCTTGTCTCAAAATTTGTAGAGAATGATCAAGGAAGATACCCAATGTCAAATTCTGACCTGCACCTGGGCATGCGTTCACATTCACACACACACACACACACACACACACACACACACACGAAAATAAATTAGAAACATAATGACTCAGAGCCTAGGTGTAGGTGTGAGGGTATCATTTATCTTGGCAGAGAGGGAATAACTGATCTTGGGCAGTGTGGCCAGGGCAGGGGTGTCTACAGGAAGCAGGCACACCACTCCTTCAGGCAGGTGGAACTCTGCCGGGCCTCACACTCTGTGGCACCACAACAACAGATGATCCACTTCTGGAACTCTGCCTCATTCTTGTGCATTAGAAGGAACTGTCCCAGCAGGATGTAGGCCTGGGAGGAGGGACAGTGCGGGGAGGAAGACAGAAGGGTTATCAGAATCTGACTCAAGAAATGCCCTTCTCCCAGCTCCCACCATCAGTACTCAGGTGACAATCAAAGTTTGGAGTGTGGCTCAGATGTGAAGGAGACTATCAGTTCCCGAAACCCTGGAGTCCTTGAAAGCAAGCCCCTAGGGAGAGGTGAGGCTTGTCTAGGACTGTCCACTTGCATTGAAATAGGCCTTGTCCTCACACCTTGACTTCCCAGGGACCCTGTAAACGGAAGTTTCTGACTAGGATGGAGCCTGAGAGTCCCCATTTCTAACAGGCTTATAGCTGAGTTGGGCCAATGATGGGGGGGGGGGGCTAGCATACATCTGAACCTCCTTTTAAACCTCTTCTTCTTTTTTTTTTCTTCTCTTTGGTGGTGTGGTAGTATGTGTGTATGTGTACCATGAACCAAACCCCTGTGCCTTGCACATACACACATGCATAGACTAGGCAAGTACTCTACTACTGAGCTACATCTGCAGTCTAAGAAGTTCTCTCTTTGAAATGCACATATATGAAGCCCAACTAGAGTCATTCCCCACCCCATTACTTACTCAAGTGCCGGAGTGTGGGGACTAAAAGTAGGGGACTGCTCAGATGGTACCTCAGCACCACCAACATTCTGGCTGATTCTGCATCGTGGGGACTGCTCTGTCCATAGCAGGACATTTAGCAGCATCTCTGGTTTCTACCTGCTGGAAAGCATGGGAGAAATGCAAGTGCCTGAGAGAGGCAGCCCTGTGGGAACAGCATAGGTGGCATAAAGCATGCTGAACCTTGACCCTCTCGTTCAAGCCTTGGATGGGGGGTGCATCACTGGGGTCTTTCTCTGACTGAACCTTTCAGCTTCTTGGTCTGAGCAGCTAATTACCAGTTTCCCTGTTTTTCCAGTCTGTGGATGGCCAAGGTGGATGGAGCCTTTGCTTTTATGAGCCTATTTAACAAATTCCCTCTTATATTACACATATTCTACTGGTACTGTTTCTGTGGAAACCCCTGATAATACAATTCCTAAGAATGTCTGTGGGTAAAAAAACACATGGATGGAGGATGAATAAGAACAAAGTATAATGGCATAGATGTATGAAAATGCCCTTAGGTGAGCCATTACTCTATATGTTAACATTAAAAATTAGTTGTAAAGACAGAAAGGCTGGAGAAATGACTCAGCAGCTAAGAGCACTGGCTGCTCTCGCAGAGGACCCAGGTTTGGTTCCCAGAACCCTCATGGAAGCTAACAACCATTTGTAGGTCCAGTTCCAGGGCATCAAACATCCTCTTCTGGCCTCCACAGCCATTGCATGACATGGGTACAGTTACATATATGCAGGTAAAACACTCATATACATCAAATAAAAAAAATAAAATGTAAAAAATGTAGAGACTGGGGAGATGGCTTAGTGGGTAACATGAGGATCTGAGTTCAAATTTCCAGCATCCACATAAAAAGCTGGGCATGGTGATGCATGTTCCTGTTAACTCCAACACTGCGGGGTGGTGGGGGGCACAAAGCTAGGTAGATTTCTGGAGCTTCCTGCCATCAGCCTAGCTCCAGATTCACTGAGAGAGCCTGTTTCAAGGAAATAAGGCAGGCTGTGGCAGAGCAGGACACATGATGTCCTGCTCTGGTCTCTGCGTGTGTACCTGCATGCATATACTACATGCACATATACCACACATATACATATACATCATAGCAAGCAAAAATGAAAAAGTTTAAAACACATACATGGACATAGAAGGCATGTACACTAAGTACACTGTGATTCCTAGGCCAGTCTTAGTTTTCTAGCCACTTAGCCTCCCTAGCTTTCACAATTTCTTCACATAGTTATTAACAAGGAACAGAACCATGCAGCCTTAAACTGGCCTAGCCACCTCTTGACTGAGGCTAGAGACTTCACATCATGCTACATAAGTCTCAGGGTTCTGGTTTGGGGCCTTCCAGCCTGATATGAAGGAGATCCAGCTTCTACCCACCCCTTCAAATTCTGAGCCCTTTCCAGGAAAACTTGCTGATGTCTGTTGACTTTCCATTGTGTAAAACAAAGCAAACTTCATCTTAACCAAAGGGAACATATTTTTTCAAAGAAGTGAAATCAAATAAGAGCTGAATCTTAGTCATAAAAGGTACCCAAGCATTGGAGTCTGGAGGTTTTATTTATTTATTTGTTGTGGAGCTAGGATAAAACTCAGGACTTTGCACATACCAGGTAAAGGCTCTACCACCGAGCTACCTGGGGGCTTATTTTCAGCTCTTATAGTTGTTGAAAAGCGAAAGCAGCTACAAATTTGTGATGATTTAAATCTACAATCTACATCTTTATTTTAAAACTGGGGAAGGAGGAGGCAGGGCTATACAGGGGCAGAAAGAGGAAAGAGAGATAAATAATGCTTAAGTCACGTGAAAAATCAAAGGGAAATGTAGTATTTATTAAGTCTACTGAAAATACACATAAATGTGAGCACATGTGTATAGCCAAAGGTTGTATAACAAAAATCACAGTGCCAAGCAAGGGAAACCTCTCTTCTAGTTGTTGGCCAGGGTAGTCCAAGAGACTCCCCAAATTATATAGGTTATGGCCACAGTCCTTGATTGCCTCCCAGAACTTGAGATAAGACCCTATTGCTGAAGACACAACATACTTCAGATAGAGGACTTGGAGTAGTTGAACTGGAACTGACCTGGAAACTGCTTCCCGAAGACTAGCTTCCACAGTATCAGAAGATACTATAGATACTATGCAAGCTTCCAAGAGAGAAAACCAGTCAATGATCCTATCCATCTATAAAGCCTATGAACCACAACAATAACTGGCACCGCAAACTATTGATGCAATAGTGGCACTTTTATCTTGGGGGTAATCAACAGCTCTCTAATTGGACTTAAGGCCCACTCAGTGAGAGGGAATTCATGTGTGGTACTGTAAACATAGTCAAGTACACACGACTAGAGAGGTCATAGACCCTAGGAAAAAAAACCTACTGTCACTTCCCTAGATCAATGTAATTTCTTACTATACTCTAAATATATATCCTTTTATTTATAGACAAGTGCACCTCCCACGACACATCAAAGAAACTTCTTTTTGCAACAGATAGAGACTATTACAAAGTTCCACAACTGGGCATATGTAGAGAATAAGTGACTGTGAGGTGCTCAGCCCTAAGTGATACATCTACAACTCAACCTCTACACCCAAGGCTCAGGGAATATCACCAGTAGGGACGGAAAAAATATAAGAGCCAGAGGGACAAGACACCTGCTGCTAGTTAATACATTTTAGACATGATAAGGAAACTGCAGCAATGAAATCTCCATAGCGTGGTAGTCTAACAACATCTGCATAATGACAAAACAAATTGACATGCCAAGGTGGATAGGGGAAATGTCATCTTGAAGTCCCACCTCAGGATGAAGAACTATAGGCAATCAAAGGATGCTGAGGGAGGTTAGAATCAGTTTTCCCCAGGACTAGCTCCCCGAGAGGTTATCTAATCCCAAGTGGGTAGTCCTAAACACAAATACACATGAACACCCCTAAATGGACTCAGTGCATTATATGTATGCGTATGTAATAATAATAATCAAAAAGGACAAGAAATTGAGAGGGAGTAGGGGACATAGGAGGAGTTGGTAAGGGACTAGGAGGGATAGAAATAATGCAAAGACAATACTCATGTTTGAAATTCTAAAAAATTATCAAAATTAACAACAAAAACCAAAAACCAGTGGCTTAGCATGATCTCATTTCTTATCAGTATCCTTTTACTTTCACTGGTGAATTTTACCATAACGGTTTAAAAATCAACATTTCAAAGCTCTGGCATTCATTTGGTGCTCATTGAGGCCAGGGCTGTGACTATGGAAGGTGCTCAGGTGAGTACAACAGGAGACAGGATGGGAAGAAACATCAATGAGGTTCATAAATAATAACAATAAGTCAAGGATGGGGATTTAGTTCAGCACTTGCCTAGAGAGCTCAAGGCCCTGGATTTGGTTCTCAGCATCAGGTGGGGGGGGGGGTACACAAAATAATAGCAAGTGACATCTTTGAGCACTTTGGCAGGCCATGCTAAAGACACCTGACACGTAGTAATCCATCTGATCTTCATGGGTGCACTGCCCACCTCATTCTCCAGATGGTGTTCTTAACAGTCTGAGAGACTAAGACTACCACCTCTATCTCCTCTCCTCTTCATTCCATATCCCAGCCATGCACAGACCAGTCTGGAGGCAAAGGCAACCCCTGCCTATTTCCGAAGCTGGTCACGGCATCTGCTGGTGTGGTAATCGGAGCCTGAGCAGCCCACAAAGGCTCAGCAGCCAGGAAGCCTTGGAACGCATGGCAGGCAGGACCCAAGCAAGCTTTCCAGGAACATGGCAGGGAGAAGGGCCTCTTTGCCAAGTTGCAACCTGACCCTCCATCCTGGGCTTTCCCTGGGGAGCACAGAGGGAACTGTGCTCTGCCTTCTCACATTATCCTGGAGGACTTCACCATGTTCCCAAGGGAAGAGAGAGTCGTGGGCTCTTGTCATGGCCCTGTTTAATGCCCTTTTGGGTTCTCCACTGCTTCCAGAAAATGAGCTGCTGCAAGGAGGGTGACGTAGAAACAGACACCTGAGCAAGTGTCCCTACCTCCCTATCACCCTGGACAGTGGCCATGGTGAAACCTGGGCCGTGCATCTCTCCCTGTAGCAGCAAGAGGGCTCAAGAGCAGACTTATTCTCTGCTTCAAGCCCAAACAGGGAAACTCTCCCAGGGCCTTCTCCCAAGCTGAGTGAACCACTCTCTTACACACAGCATCTTTGCTAAATGGCAGCAATTTGAATCTGTACCAGGGCTGATCTGTGCAGTTGCCTGGGGTCTTGCACACAGAACAGCCACAGACTCCTTTTAATGTGATGCTGCCACCATCTTAAGCCTTAATACATTTGAACAAAAGGTCTCACCTTGTCATT